TAGTTTTCAGTTTGTGAGCATGGCCAAGTTTTAAAAGATACTTATTCTCTTTACCTAGAGCTATGACTGACATTGGAGATTACATAGGTTCCAACATCGAAATATCCTGGTTACCCAACCTGGATGACTTAATGAAAGGTTACGCACGTAACTTCAGGCCTGGGATTGGAGGTGAGACTTCGGGAATAATATCTCTTTTGTTTCTTACAATCCTTCTGCCCTACCTATATTTTTATAGGTACTTTGATGATACAAATTCAAACATTTTTTCTCAGGTCCGCCTGTTAATGTTGCTCTAGCAATTGAAGTAGCCAGCATCGACCACATCTCAGAAGTGAACATGGTAAGTTATCAGTTAAACCCACCCAGTTGTGAATGTATGTACTGCAGTGACAGAAACCGGACGAAACTAACCAGAAAGTTGATCTCCAACGTGTTTGGAGTGGAGAAATTACCACAAGAAGATGCTACAGGGAACAAACATTGTATTGTAAGACACAGGCAGAGTCTCTTCTGGCAGACCTTGGCAAATACAAGAATCTAGCGGTGTGTAAGTCACTGAGATTTCTTACTACAGTTAACAAGGTTGGATCTGTGCAGCACACACTAACAGAAAGCCTAATTTTAAGCATTAACACCAACTTCTGTTCAAATTCCTTTTCAGCACAGAGACTTCTAAAAAGAAGCTAAGGGAACAATTGGTTTTGTAATCGTTTTACAATTGGTTTACACATTTTTGTGTAAAGCCCTTTCAATAACACAGTGGAGTATAACAGCTTACAAATCAAATAAAAAGGCATTGGCATGGATTAGCTGCATTTCTGAAACACAATAGATCTAATTTTAAAATCAAAACGTTGGCTTTCTCTCCATCCTTTCCCTTCATTAGATATGCATAACTTCACCTGTTTTTTTTTTAATTTTGCTCTCAAAAACAAAAGTTGCACTTGTGGAGATACATAAACAGATTTTCTTCATTAGGATATATGCAACTCATGCAACATGTTGTATGTAACACTGACATCAAATCACTTTTTGATATCTTGGGTTTACCTGTGGTAGAAGCATGTGACAGAAATTCAAATACTTGGGCAGCTCTGTGGTTGACTCAGCATAAAATTACTTATTTGCACTGGAAGCAGTTACTACATTTGTAGGCTAATACAAGTCTCAAGACATTACCACTGTCTCAAGACATAAAAAAAATTGTGTTTGCTTAGCATCACTTTTTTGATTGGGATTTCTCTTCTCCCAGGAGTATACCATGACAGTATTCCTGCACCAGAGCTGGCGAGACGACCGCCTGTCCTACAACCACACGAATGAGACACTGGGCCTGGACAGCCGGTTTGTGGACAAACTCTGGCTGCCAGATACTTTCATAGTAAATGCCAAGTCTGCCTGGTTCCACGATGTGACAGTAGAAAACAAACTTATCAGGCTCCAGCCAGATGGAGTCATTTTATACAGCATCAGGTGAGTAAGAAAGAGTACAAGTTTACCCTATCATGGATTAACTTTTTGGACAGACTCTAAAGTAATCACTCAGTTTTCCTAGGATGATTTCTTGAAATAATTATTAATGTAACATGGAAGAAAGTACTGGTGACCCCTACCAGAGATCCCTTTATTTTCAAGGATTATACTGCCAGGAAGGTATCTTTGGCAACATTGCATTATCACTGATCACTTTTAGAATGTCCTTAATGGGAGATAAGCACCTCATAACTATTTGATCAGTAGGCAATATGCTCAAAACAGGGCAGAGATTATGTTCTCCACTCTCTCATTATTTTCCAATGGAACTAGGAGCCTGATTTAGGCTCAGCTTCCTCATCTTTCAAACAGAAAAAGTATTATTTCCTCACTTTGGAAGAGTGTTTTTCCTAGAATTCAATAACTATATTTAAAGTTGATTGTGTAATGTTCTAAAAAATTATGAGTGTGCAGTTTTGAAATTGTAAGTCCAAAGTCACCCTTAAAGTAATTGTAGTGATCCTGGGGACAGTGGGAGTAGATTTGACTCAGAAAAGTCCTTTTCACTGTCAGAAGTAACTGAAGTGTCCTTTGACATTAGACACATCTATCTGAATGCATCTAACTGGTGTTCACGTTGCTTGGAACAGGATTACCTCAACAGTGGCCTGTGACATGGACCTTTCCAAGTATCCGATGGATGAGCAAGAATGCATGTTGGATTTGGAGAGCTGTAAGGGCTGAGTACAGTGTTTCATATAACCTTGTTTTGTGTAAAGCCTGTGTATATGGTACTTGGCTTGCTGGAGTTTGCTGGAATGATTGTGCTTTAGTCCACAAAATGTCAAGGGTGCCTTAGGATTTAGAAGTAATGGGTACAAACAGGAATCCCTTGATTCTGTGTTGGGCATTAGATTGTGGACTTCTCAATACCAGTTGACTCAGATCCAGTTCAAAACTAGGATTTAATTCAGTGAAGATGAACAACCTACAGGCCTCCTGACGGATGTCTGCATCTGTGTGCATGATGTAAAACCCAGTACAATTGTGACAGTCACTAGCATGACTGAGGTTTGCATCAAATCCAGTAAGGATAAGTAGAGGAGCCCACAGGCAAAATCTGATGTGCTATGTTTTCTCTATGAGAAAACAGGTAAAAGAATTCCCTGCTTTCAATGAATAACATTTTGACCAACCCTTACATATCTGTTTAGCTTGCTTAGGCATTCTTGTATCTGTTACACAAAATCAATCAGAATACTGCATGGATTGGCTGAAATTTATTTCTGCTCACAAAGGAAGGTGAAGAATGAATTTACGTTTTGTCCAACCTGTATTTTATCAGTGATCAGCATGTAATTCCCATGAGCATTAATGCTTTTGACTGAAATTCACTACTGATACAAGCAGGGCCCACCTGATCAATAGCAATGAACTGGCCTTTCGCTGGGTTTTATATCAAGGAGTCTCCAGGTCTTGAGGGTTCCAGAGATTTGTGAATAGCAGTTTCTGAGCAGATCCACTGGCCTGCTGATGCAAGTTCATCTTTTTCCTTTTGAACACTGACTTTGTTTTCTAGGCAATTAACCACAATACCATTTTTCTTGTCAAAAATAGCAATCTACAGTTTTACTTATGTAATCACCAAATGCAGAGGCAGCAGACACTGTACCAGCAACTGATTCCCTCTCCCAGCACATTCTGCAGGGAGTTTTGGTGGTAGTTGCATTTTTAAATTGAATTTAGGGGGGTTGATTTCAGTGAAACAAACATGCAGAAATAAAGCCTCTTAAACAAATTAATGTTTTAGTAGCAAGTTTTCTATTAACAGCGAAACTAGCAAAGATCAATTTCCTGTGGTTTGGCATATCACATAAATCTCCTCATACATATTCCCCCTTCTCCCATCTCCCTGGTGCCCTGCACCTCTCCCTGGTCATTACCTTCCAGCTGCCACCCATGCCCAGCTGCAGTCATTAACAGGCTGATGATCCTGATGATCTACATGGTGAATGTCAAGCTGGTGCATCTCAGAATAGGCATGGGGCTGAGCTGTTCTCTAACTGGCTGCACAACTTTTCCGTTCTCCACATACTATCTCTTACAAAACTTTAAGAATCTAGAATTTCAAGGAAGGATCAATAATTTGATACCTTTACCTTTTTGTCATTTTGGTTGGGAAAACAGGAAGTTCAAAAGCCGTTTGGAGAACTGACAGAAAACCAACACATTGGCTGTTGGCATAAACATTGTTCTCTTATTAAACTACTTTAAGCCTGGGGGAGGCCCTAACAGTTGTTTTGAAGAGTGGGGATTCATATAAACAATTCAGTATGTACCTTGTGAGTGTCTGTTTGTAAAAGCACTGCAGGGCTTGCAAGGGTTGATACAAACCCAGCCGGACACATACTTTTTAAGGACACTGGGGAATCACTGACAAAGGAAATCTGCTTCCCCAATGCTGCCTGACTGGTACAGAGTACCTATCTTGTTAAACCAATGTGTGATTTTTGAGATAGATTTGCCATACAGAATTACAACCTGATCTGGTTTCAGTAGGATAGGCATAGGTAGATCAAATTTGATAGTTATTTTCTTTTACAATCAGTAATTTCTGTGCCTCTGAGATCCAAGCCCAGTACAGGGGTAAGTTAGCTAGTCTGAGTAACAACAGCAACAGTTACTTGACTGAGTATGCAATAATCTTTTTGAGAGATAATTTGACTATTTCTCATGGCACTGCCTTGTGCCATGCCACATATTGCTAGTCAGTGTGAATCAACTTGGATTATTCTCCCTGCAGGAAAGATACCCCAATGTGGCAACATCAATGCTGCCAGGACAGTGAATTATCCAGACTGAATCACAGCATGTTTGCAATGGGTCCAATGGAAATCGGCACAGCAGAAGAATTAGAGGACTTCTGCTATGAGTCCTCCAAGTGCTTAAATTTCTTCCTCAAACTTAGTATTTATTCAGTTTTCTTTTTGCAGATGGCTACTCTTCAGAGGACATTGTCTACCACTGGTCAGAAAACCAGGAGGAGATCCATGGGCTGGATAAGCTGCAGCTTGCTCAGTTCACAATTACCAACTACCAGTTCACAACAGAAATTATGAACTTCAAATCTGGTAACAGGATCTGTCTTCAGTTCAGGGACAGTACCTGTCTTTTTCCTGGATAGGGAAACCTGTATCTATAACAGAAAATCCTGCTTCTTACTTTACTAATTTAAGAACCTGCCAGGGTTTTGATAAGAGTTTTCTTCAACACTTGTAAAAAATGCCAACCTTTGCTGATCCTTCAGGTACCCGCTGTAGCATATTATGTACTTTAGCTCTATATGTTTGACAAAATCCTGCTTGGAGCACCCAGACAGCACTAGATAAAACCACTCGAGGTATGGCTCACATTTTCTTGACCTAATTTGCAACTTCTGATAAAGAGAATTTTCCATAAGCCCTGATGTTATGGAGCTTACGATGTCCAGTCAGATCACACTAATTCCGTGCAGAAGTCAGTGGTGTGTATGCGTAGCACTGGGTTTATTGCAATGTTTGTATAAGATTGGAGTAATTTCTTTCCTGCTGATTCTTCATCCTCTTTCATGTATTCAGATTCTCATTTATGCTGCACATCTCTAAGCAATTTTCTGAGTTTGAAATTAACTTGGACTTTTAAAAAATTTAAATTTAGCATCTGGAGGACTTTCTACAGCAGATGATAGGACACTACAACATTTTGGAACTATACTGTTAGTTGAGAAGACTCATTTTCAGATCAGGTATTGATATGACCTGAGACAAACCATTTCACCTGTTCTTAGCTGATGAGAACTGCAGTACCTCATGCAGGGTTTATGAAACCTCGTTGAACAGCATTTGAAAAAACTTCTTGTGATCTTTGTCCAAAAGATGTTTAAGAATGTAGATCTGTGTCATTATAGGAGATGTTATTTTGAGTATCAGCCTAACTGTAGTTCACACAGTGTCTCTGTGCTCCTTTTTTCAGCAGGTCAGTTTCCCAGGCTCAGTCTCCACTTCCACCTTCGTCGAAATCGAGGAGTTTACATCATTCAATCTTACGTTCCTTCTATCTTACTCGTGGCCATGTCGTGGGTGTCCTTCTGGATCAGTCAGTCAGCTGTGCCTGCCCGAGTGTCATTAGGTAAAACAGAGTTGGGGGAACTAACAGGGAGGGAAGGGTGTGCTCAACTTATAATTATCTCTAACAATCTTAATTTTCCATGAAAGTGCATTTATGAATACTGTGTTTACATCTGCAGAAGAGATGGTCCTTTAAAAGAATTCCCTCATGTTCTAATTTTTGTCATGCTATCAGAGGAGCTGCCTCAGTAAAGAACAGAAGATAACCACCTACAGAGGGTTAAAATCAACAGTGACTGTGAGGCACATGTATGAAAGAATTGATTTGAAGGAACTGGGACAGTGACAAAATAATATTCTTAAAGCTTGTGGATCTGTTTGCCTGAGTCAGGGTTCTAAGATGCAGGGGTTCTTGAGAGTTAATTCTGGTTTTGTTCATCCTGATCTAGAATAAAACCAAGAATAACATGTTCAAAGCTGCCTTAGTCATACCAAGGCAGTTTTTTATGAGCTCCCCTGTTTTGAAAATCAGAAGCCACAATATTAAGGGGCTTCTCCTGTGAAAATATTCCTCAGCTTCAGACTAGTAAATACACTTAATATACACTGTGAAACCTAAAGTAAATTTTTTTACACTGACTGCAGGTATAACTACTGTTCTCACTATGACTACATTGATGGTCAGTGCCCGATCTTCACTTCCACGAGCATCTGCCATCAAGGCACTTGATGTTTACTTCTGGATTTGCTATGTATTTGTCTTCGCTGCACTAGTTGAATATGCGTTTGCACATTTCAATGCTGACTACATGAAAAAGCAGAAGAACAAGCTAAAGGCAAGAAGGCAGAGTGCAGAGGTCCGTAAATGTAATATTATGAGTAACTTTACTCATAATAATAAAATAATAGTAAAATAGCAAAAGACTTTAGTCTTCACCATTATCCCCTGGAGATTACATTTGTTACACCCAAGCTGTGTAAGGTAAATACAGGTGTAATGAGCATGGATCCAAGTCATGTAGGTGTGAAGCCCAGTGAAACTGAACAAAGGAGGCTGTAGAGATGAATGAGATTGCTTCCAGGAGCTCCAGATGTGCTTTGCTGCTTTCTTCATGTACATACATGCACTGTTAGTGAAGAAGCCCAGGGGAACTGATTAAGGAACTTATTTTTTAACAATTCACAATTTGAAGTCCAGGCCTACGTATTTTTGAACTCTCTGGCACCTTGGCTATTATTTATAATTACTTATTATTTCATTTTATTAAGCTGTAGCAGATATGACTGACCCTTATTAATTTTCTGTCCCAGCTCCATGTTCTCTCAGCTTTGACAAGAGCCTGAGAACTGCCTGTGGGCTTTGGCCACACAATCGGATAACTATGTCCTTGAAGTCAGTCAATTGTTCTGAGTCAGGAGGGCCTAAGCATGTTGTCTCAATGGTGCCTTGATAATTTTGAGCATGTAAAATTATAACCAGAATTTAAAAGCTGTAGTTCAGAGTCTTTCAGTGATCCTTCTGCCAAAGCAAGTGAGCAACCTGCTCTAGTGGAAGGTGTTCCTGCCTCTGGCAGGAGGCTGGAACTGGATGAGCTTTAAAGTTCATTCCAACCAAAACCAGTCTGGGGTTTGTGATAAATACCATTCAGCATTTCACCATCTCAGTGTCATGTCTAGCTTGTATGAACTACCTTTGCCCTATAAATTGCTATTATAGGTTCCTCTCTTTCCTTTGCAGATAAACGTGAAGAATGCCATTGTTCTGTTTTCCCTATCCATAGCTGGTGTCAGCCAGGAACTGGCCATTTCCAACAGGCAGCACCGAATTCCCAGAAGCCTGCCTGGATCTTATGGTACAATAGAAATAGAAACTGGAGAGACAAAGCGGCAAATAATGAAACTGGATAAGAAGGGTGGTCTGAAGTCCCTCTTTAAGCCCATTGATGCCGATACCATTGATATATATGCTAGAGCTGTGTTCCCAGCAGCCTTTGCAGCAGTCAATGTTATATACTGGGTTGCATACACAATGTGAAGAGCTACAAATTGAACAATGCCTGTGGACTAAACAGCCCTTGCAGAAAATGTATGGATCTATCTGTTCTCAACAGAGCTTGAGGTACTTCTAAAGTCAAGAAAGTCCTGCTATCAATTCCTACTAAAACCAGCAATTTATTACCCATCTGAGCTGAGACAGTAATTACTGTACTCTGCCAAACAATCCCATCTCCTAATTTCCTGGATTACCATGAGACAATTTTTCATATGTACATATTTGCAGCAAAAGCTTAAATCTTAAATTACCATGGGTTTCCTCAACTTTAAGGGTTGATCAGTAATGAAGATTTGGCTTTTCACACTTAGGTCCTTTCCTTTTTTGTAATAGAAGAGCTAACTCCTCACTTCCACACAGGAGTAGTTTTCTGCATTCGGCCTTCTGTGGAGTGGTCCAGGTTGAACAGCAGTGGTGGAGGTTTTAATCATAAAAATCTCACGAACAAAGTAAAAGGGAATAGAGTGCAGCAGGGGCTTTTTCTTAAATTATTATTTGTCTTGGATAGAGTATTGAAAACATTTCAATGCTCTTAGTGACAGCATGAAATAAAATATACTGCATAAGATTCTACTGAATTGTTAATAATGACTGCATTACATTTCAGATCTAAGCTAATGAAAATATATATACTTCAATACAGTGAAGTTTATTAGTTTAATAGGCCCCAAAATAAATAAAAGTGATTTAGAAACACAGGGAAAACTCAGGCTTCCTATGTTGGATTGGGAAAAATTTTAAAGAAGCTTGATAATGAAGGAACTCAGACTCCATTTTCAGGAAGGGCTTTAGAATTCATTTTGCTAATTTTCAGTGAGAGTCTACCATGTGTGCCTCTGAAAATATCCTTTTTGCATCTGTCCCTAAATAGCTGAGTGAAGTAAAAAGAGTCATAACTGGCTTAATGAGTTACTGCGTTGCTTTGGATATTTTTGCCATTTTTATTCAGAGGCTGAGCTAACATTTTAGGCCTCTTCACTTCCACTATCTGACAGTGAAATTTGTGGGTACTCATGCACACGCTCTTTAAATCAGGATTAGAGCCTCTCACCCCATTCATGCAAAATAACACTTTGTTCTGTAAATAATTCCAGGGAACTCAGCAAATGAATACAGTATTCACAACAAACACCAGCTTCACAACAGCCAAAAAACTCCCCAGTAAATATTTTGGGATATGAATTTTAACAAGTAAAATATTGTTAGTGTAGGAAATCAATGTAAGACACTTCAAAAGGGAAACTTTTTTGAGGATTTTGTTGTCTTGAAAGTGAGATTCTGTTATAGAGACTGACACAAAAGAAAATATGAAGTGAGAGAGGAAGGGGAAGAAGGAAGCAGAGCAAGTGGCTGAAAGCTACGATGGAAGGGAGCATGGGGAGGTGTGAGGTTAAACAAGACAAAAGGTGTAGATAAGAGAAGAGTTATGCTGGGTTTTGAAGATGGGAATCTCGAATGCAGTGGCTGATGGTTAATAACTGCAATAAGGATGAAACAAGCATTTGATCACAGTGGAGTGTGCCCGTGTTCCTCCTGCCTTATCTGTGACACATGGTTTGATTTTGTATGACCAGCACTGAAAGACAGAGCATTTAAACACAGATTATAACCTAAAATAAGATTTGTTCAATGTCACTGAAGTAAGAGAATGCTTTGAAGAAAAACTAGGGATCCTGAAGTGAGCAAAAATAGAAAATATGCTCCCATCTAAGTTAGGCTTAGGTTCAGCTCAATCTTTAGTTTCTGCTTTAATGGAAAACCTACTTGCCAACAGTGTGCTGGCAAGGGCAAACTGGAGTTGTTCCACAGAATTCTCACCAGTCTAGCCCTGGACTTAGACACCTGGATTCTGGTCCCAGATCCTGCCACTAACTTGTTGGGGAATCTCAGTTCTGTCATATCACTACATCCTCTCCAAAACTACTATAATGATACTGATTTCTTTCCTATATCTTTGAGTTTTACAGAAGAAAAACCCTTCAGGAGAGACAACTCTTCTCCTCCAAGTAGGTAAGTGCATACAACTAGTACTTACGTGGTGCTATTTACCATAGTATCGAAGACTCACACATACTGATTTAAAGCAAAGTATTGCCCAACTTTCACCTTATCCAGAAAGCCAATGAAATTCTGCATGTCCTTCAATACATGCAGGTAATCAGGCTTCTTTTTTCCTCCTCCTTCTCCTCTTCGGATTGTATTTTTCTTGGTATTTGTTCCTGATGTTGATGAAATGCTACATTACAGAAATACACCATTTTTTTCCAAAGTATGCTTTTGGTCTTAATCACTTTCTCCCTCAAAGAAGTTCACCCTTCTTGCTGTCTTCTAGATCATTTGTACTGTTTTATATAATGATTAAGTGCAGAGTGGAATAAAACCACAAGCAGCATGACTTTACAATGCCTTTTCTTTACTAAGTTGTTGCTTTTTCCATGATCCTGGGTCAGGTCCTGTCTTAAATCCCTTCTACTTCTCCTTACAGCTTAAAGTGAGCTGTTTCAATTCACATCTGATATAAATCTTGTCTGGCCTCAGAAGCATCTTAACTTTAAGTGTAACTCTTAGATGATGCACTTTCATAGGCAAGTGTGAAATATTCTGCTCAGAACTTTGAACATTTATCACCACAATAGTACTACACTCTCCAGAAAGACCATAGTGCCTTATTCTTCTCTGTTACACTTGCCTAAATAGAAATAATCTTCGTTTTAAAATCAGTAGATTAACTACTGCTGTGAAAGCAGAGTCTAACCTTTTTGTATCCTGCTGGTTTCTCTAGTAGTTTATTACATTGCCTGTCAGGAACAGTATCTGCTGCTAAGAGTGAAATTATTGACTAAATCCAGCTGAAATACTCGCAGCAGGTTCCTGTGCAGTGTGAATCATAAGAAAACAATCAATTATTCTGGAATTATTTTGGAATTGCAGTTACTGAAGAGCAGAGAACAAAGCACTGACCTAGTCTCTCTAGCGTGCAATGGCTGATTATTTCAAATAATTAGCAAGAACATACCTGCAAATATTACACAGGTAATGTCTAATCTAATTACTTCAGCAGTAATAGTTGGTAACTGTGCACCTGACATAACTCCTTACACTGAAGCCAACTGAGTAATCACATGAGGTTACTGGACAAAATCAGTTGCTTCTCCTATGACTGGGAGGCAGTAATAGGCTGCATGCTCTGCTGACTTCTTCAAAAGATTTAGTCAATGAATGTTTTCTATAGTTTGACTGCAGATCTTCAAGGTGAACATCCCAGTTGTTGAGTGATCAAAGTAAAAGGTGGCAGCAATATATTCCTCAAAAAAACTCAAGCCAGAATGCTAGACTATCACAGTGTTGTAGACAGAAGCATAAATAAAGGGAAAACAACCACCTCAGAACACTGCAGGGAGTCAGAAATGTGCACTATGAGCATACATATGGCTGTTGTGTCCATTCCAGAAACAAGGTGACTCAGAGGGGAGAAGAGGTGTCTTAGCTACTTTTACTGCACTTGCATGAGTAACACAAGACAAAACACTTCCACCATCAAGAGTGGGATTCTCTTACATCTGTTTCCAGAGCCAGAAATAAAGTCAGATGCCATTCAAACTCTTCTTAAGGAGAAACTTCAGTACAGGAGTCTGGTGTAACAATTGGAGCTTTGCATAAATTTGAATCTTCTGCACTTATGCGCATGCTTAACTCGATTTATTTTAAATTGAAAAAAAAATCATCCTTAAAAAAATCATCAGACGTTAATACTTCAGATGTCTTAATATCCAAAGACAATGCCTTATTCAACTCTGATTTCATGATAATAAACAGAAATAAACTGAATTTGATGTTAGTTAAATGTTGCCTTTGGATGGGCTGTATTAGCATCAAGGAGAGGCAAAAAAAAAACCAACAAAACCAGTATGTGACAGATCAGAAGGCACTTTTTCTGTGCTGTACCTGAAAACATTCATATTCCTTTCAGCAGTTTAGAGTACTGCTCTACGGACTGGCATGTCTGTGAGAAAAGGAGTGGGGTATGTGTTAATGTAATCATTCTAGATGTGAAGTGTTGATAAAATGTAGATATACAGAAATGGGAGTTTCTATAAATGGACAAAATAGACATTCCAACTATTGAGCTGGAATTGCATTGAGCTATTGCATTAGAAGGAAAATCAAAATCACAGAATCATAGAATAGTTAGGGTTGGAAAAGACCTTAAGATCATCTAGTTCCAAGGCCCCTGCCACGGGCAGGGACACCTCACACTAAACCATGTCACCCAAGGCTGGCCTTGAACACCACCAGGGATGGAGCATAAATAACCTCAGAGATTTCATCCCATAATGAAATCCTGCCTATTATGTGCCCAAGGGCTTGTAAAACTCTACTTTGGCTTTGGCAACAGAAAAGGAAGCACCATTCTGTATTCATAAGTGCTTTCTGTGGGGTATTTATGCAGACTACTGTATTTATGTTAAAAAATAGCTGTTGCTGTCTCAAGAGATCAAAAAGAATCAGCACAAGATGAAGAGGAGAAAGATACTGTGTGATTTGCTAGAAAGTAATGCTGGCAGTGGCAGCACTATTAAGAGGTTAATGTA